AAAAAATTTTATTATTTTTGTGTGAGTATACCGTCAAATCAGATCTGACAGGAGGAGATTGTCCCTCCTTCCCCGGCAGAGCATCTGGTGGATTCAAACTGTGAGCCTCTGGGATCGTAGTTGCAGCTTCTTGCCACTAGGCCACCAGAGCTCCCCCAAAATTTTGTGCTTTAAATCTAAGGTAGACCTGACCCACGCAAGCTAAGGTATTTTCAATTGCCTCAAATACATGTGAATGTTGGACAATGAGTAAGGAAGATCAAGGAGACGCCTTTGGATTGAGGTGCTGGCACAGAATACTGACTATATCACAGCTACCAAAATAACAAATAAATCTGTCTTGGAAGAAACACAACCAGGATGTTGCTTAGAAGTTAAGTTGGTGAGACTGTTTCACGTACTTTGGGCGTGCGTCAGCTGGGGAAAGTACCAGCCTTGAAGAAGGAAAGAGTCAGGTGAAAAGAGGAAGACCCTCAAGGAGGTGGACTGACAGAGCGGCTTTCAAGAGCAGGCTCAATGCGCAGTAGATTATGAGGGTTTCTCTATGGGATACATGGGGTCACTGTGTGGGGGAGCTGACTCCACAACATCTAACGATAACAACAACATAACTTGTATTTTCTTTTCATTTTAACATTTATAATAGCAAATTTCAAACCATTTGAAAAGGTTTAAGATGCTCCATATAAAAAAAAGCTTGCATTTCATTATAAAATTGAGAAATCAAGGACTTCCGAAATGAAAAAGATTTGTTAAGGAGAAGCTTTATTTTAATCTATTTCTTGTGAGTTACTGGAGGGAGGAATAAAGGGAAAAAAATCAAAACCTCTCTAATCGTGACTTCCGCCGCCCCCCATATCTAGCTTGATCCCTTTATTTTATAGACAAGGAATCTGAAGAGCAGACTGAGGTTAAGTGCTTTCTTCTGGGTCAGAAAACTTATTAAGGAAGACTTAGCGTAGATAAGTGTTAATTTATTTTAATTAGCATAGAGGACATTAGTGTTCAAAACACTTTGTGTTTTGCTGAATTTAACCAAATGAGCAGAAATAACAAATCAGCTGAAATCATGGTGCTAATTCCAGAAGAAGAGTGGATGCAATTGACACCAGAATGTGTGGCAGAGAGTGACTAATGAACAGGCTTGACTTTTCCACACTGAACCATGATGGCACCAGGAATTCACAGGGGAGAAAAGCAGTGACAGGGAAGGAGAGCTCAGCAAGACGAAATCACCCCAGCCTACCATGGCGTGTGACCACCCAGTCTATAGACACACACACACACACACACACACACGTAAATGTAATTTTAATGAAAGTTTCCAGAAAGGTTGGGTTTTCATTCATTCGTCCTATCTTCTTCTCTTTTTCTGCTCCCCAAATTCCCTTTGCAATATACCTGTTATTCCAGATTGTCATCATACATACAACGCATAATCACATATTCCTTTCAGACAGTTCATTCTCGTGTTTAAGAGTAGAGTTCAGCTAAGATCCAGACAACAGGAGCTGATGTTTCCATTTTTCCACTATAAAATTAAAATCCTGTTTGATAGCTCTAAATTATTATATTTGTATTCAACGGACATTTTAGCTAATGTCTGTAGAGTATAAATGTGTTCCTAAATACTGAATCTCCTGACTGCTGGTAGCAAAGATGTTGACTGTGGATACAAGTAAGATGAAATCATTGACAACTTGAATCTTCTCTCCGTCTATCATGATATTGCCTAAAGGTCCAGCGGCAAGGATTTTTGTTTTCTTGACGTTGAGATGCAATCAATATTGAAGGTTCTATTATTTGTTCTTCCGCAGCAAGTTCTTCAAGTCCCCACTTACAGAAAACAAGAATGTGTCATCAATATAACAAAGGTTATGATGAGTCATCCACCAATTCTTTCTTTTCTTTCCTTTCATGATATATTTATTTGTTATTTTGGCAGTTCA